ATGGGCAATAAAAATAAATTATCAATTTTTTTTTTAAACGGGGAGTAAACAAAGAAAGGCCCCGCCCCCGCCTCTCCTTAAACGGTTAACGAGGGGGGAATTTCTTAGCTGGAAGGGGGCACCCTCGCTCAGCCCCGTTGCCATCCTTAAGCATTTTATGTTTTTCTATACACGTCGAAAACAAATTATTGTGGGCTCCACTTGAAAGTCTTGCTTGTCAAGCGAGATTTGGTTAGGATGCTGATAATGAACCCCCAACACCCCAAGCAATTTTCTTCACTTTCTTTTCATTTTTTTATTTTATTAACCTATATTTTTGGGAGGCCCATGGGTGGGGGTTGGGGATGTGACAGTGTATCGGTAATCCGAAGGAAAAAAAATTAGAATAATGATTGGTGTACAATGATTTTGACAACATTATTGACAACATGCTATGTGATATGTTGTCATTGGACAGTTTAAAAAGCAATTCATCTTTTCAATCAGTATTTTTTTGTCACAACCAACAGTGTAGACAATGTTGTACAAAAACATTGTACAAATAACATAATTCAAAAACATAACTCCCTCATTAATTTAGTTTAACAAGTTGATAAAAATCTAAATTAAAATTTATAATTAATTTTAACAACATATTTTATGAATTCAACAATTTTTATCAACTTTTCAATAAAATATTTTATTAGCTTTTATTAAAATCTATTGAAAATATGATTTTTAGTTGAACGAGTGGGTAAGTGTCATTAACGGTTGTCATAAATGAGACTAAAGAAAGAAAGAAAGAAATCGAGTAGCTAGTCAATGACTCGGTAAATCAGCACAAGAACATTAATTTTTCTTTTCTTAAAAAAAAAAGGTAATTAAATTGTCCAGATTAGACCACCAAAAATAAACCATTGTTGAAAATAATTGACAGATGATACTCATGGAAGCAAAACAGAGAAATTTACAACACAATTTAACCCTTAATGCACGTCAGTTACAATTTGACGAACGAAGCAAAACGGTAAAAAAATGTTATTTTCTGATATATGCAAATGTAAAATTATAGGATTACCACTTGTTGAGCTCCGGTGAGATAAATGGCCAATGAGCATTCATCTTTTCCGGGACAAAGTGCTGACATTGATATGTCTGTGATGGCCGGAACCACCATGAAATTGGCGAAGCAGTGGAGGAAAACCGTCGTGAAGAGGTGGCTCAGTCCAAAGAACTTTCCCATTTTCTCTCTTTTCTCTAAAGATATGGTGCTAAAGAAAAACCCTCTATTTTAAGAGAGATTCTTAAAGCAACAAAAGAAGCAATTATTTAAGAAACGAAGAATTCTGGTCTGGAAAAGAAGTAGTCTGTGTCTCTCTTTATATACAAGAATGGTCTTTCAAGTTCACTGTTTCGAAGTAATCTGCATGGGATTGTGAATTTGGATTTTCGGCAAAAGAGACAATTATTAATGAAAATAAAATATAAACAAATAGAGAAAATTGCAAACATAGACCTTACCCTATCGAAACTGTTACTATTTACTCCCAAATTTACAAATGCATGTTCAGAACCCCAACTTTATGCGCGTTTTGAATTGGCAAGTCCATTTTCACGATCACCATATTTCAAGTCGTAAAATAATAACATGAACTGCACATACGCGACATTGTCTCTCTCGCATCCCCGTTAGCACTTAAATTTAAAAACAACTAATTATATATAAGTTCTCTAAACATGAAATAATATAATGAATCAAACCCTGTAATATTTGGAAAAAAGGGACCATTTCCAATTGTAAGTTAATAAATATAAATGGAAAAAGGTTTTTATTTTTTTCTCAAGTATACTACCAGTAAAAAAGGTTGGATGTGCTGTGCTTGCTAGTGCAGTTGTACTCAACTTAATTGGGATTGGGCAGAAGAGGTCAAAAAAGTCAAAGGACAACAGAAAATGCGTAGCTTGCAAGTTGATGCAAGGTATAAAATGAAACAAGGAATTGGGGGGCCTGATTAAAAGCTTTTCACGCTTTGATGCGTACAAGGTAGTTAACAGATTTTGGACCATTGATTGATCACAAATTCACTGGATAGAATTTAGGGCGGATCCAGCACCTGGCCATCCCAACGATCGCTCGTGCTGGATCCGTAGGGAGCTTCAAGTCGTCGTGACGTCAACGCCGACGCCGTCTGCCGGGAAGAAATGAAGAAGGCAGCCGACGTCGGGTGAAATTTTTTTTTTCCTTTCTTATTTTGTTTCAGTGTTTGAGCCTTTTTTTTAAAACAATAAGACCCAATTAATTGGGCCAATTTGCAACCCATTAACCACAAACAAAGCCAAAGCCAAATCCAAGATTCCAAATCCCCAATTCCAAAATTTCACCCAAACCGCAGATGAGGGATACGACCGGGGCGATTGGCTGCACTGCAGAGTCCCTGTTGCTGTTGTACGTGCCGTTGTGTGTCTGTGAGTTGCACTGTTGCCGAGTCGCTGACTACGCCTAGCCTCTTCGGTCATCTGGCGTCTCAGCCAGTCCACTGGCTTTCGCTGTTGTGTTGGTGAGTTTGCTCACTCTTTTCTTTTTTCTTTTTTTTTTTTGTTTTTGTTCCTTCATTG